GTTTTTAAGGGGCCATGTTCCTTCTCTTTCTGTGGCTAATGGCATTTCTTTTACTTACATTAATCCACAGAGAAGATTTTAATTTACTTACAAAGTGAATATTTTCTTTTCCAAAATCCTGTGCAACAGAAAACATAGATTGGTTGCAGGGATCATCAGGGAGAAAAGGTGCCGTCCTGGTTCTGCTGCCCAGGTCTCTGCTGCAAACTGGACTCTCGTGATGCAGTATCCTCATCATTCGTTGTCCCATTTCTCTTTTCTTTGTGAAATGGATCTCTGATTTCTTTTTCATCATTTTATATTTTCCTTTTTGCCTGCCCTCCCCTGCTTTTTTGTCATGGTTAATACATGAAACTATGAGGCCATGGAATGGAAATACTGCAGAGTTTGGGGGTTTTGGGGGGACACCTAGGCAAAGTGGAGATAGATACCTGGGTAGGGTACAGACGAGGCAACTATTTTGTAGTTGCCAAATCTTACACAAATTTAGTTCAGCAACATTTTTATGGCATGGGCAAATAGTCTTCTGTGCTAGCTAGAGTTAACATAAACAACACATGTAAATGGCTAATGCTCCCTTTTCATGTTTGCCTTTGCAGGTCGGTCAGATTCAAATGCTACTTTTCTGTTTCACTCTCCTTCCCTGCCATTTTTCATCTCACTCTTCCTATGTTATTCTGTACCTCTGTGTCAAAACAAAGTGCTGTTCGAAACTGTCTTGCCTTCTACCCAACATGGTGCTTACTCTTCTGAAAAAATCACAGCTGGGATCAGCAGTCGCTGCCCCAGACTATTCAACCAGGATGAAACATTAGATGGAGTGGAATTAGGTGGCATGAGAGGATTTTACTTAAGAAGAATATAGCATTTGAGCCCTGTTTGAACTTAAGATGCCTGAATACTTGAGTAAGGATAATTTGGATAGCTGTAAGTAAAGAAGAGTTTCATCTTACACAAGGACATGAGCAAATGCCATTGAATAAGAATTTTCCTGCATGCTTTCTTTTGCATGATCACCAGCAGTCAATTTTGTAAATTTTGTACTGTTGGAGTTACTCTTCCACTTGAGAAAATCCTGTTGGAGTCATAAGGATGTGACTGCAAAGGCAAGAACAGTGCAGGCGAGGTAAAAGAAGCTGCCAGTGCAAGACAGCGGAGAATCTGGCTCTGCTTTATGTATGACTACTTCGCATTTTTGTGTTTGTTTTTATTTTACCCTGGGCTGTCTAAGTATTTCACAGGCAGTTAACTCCCACAGAATGACTATGAGTCTTTATTTGGTGGATTTTACAAAGAGTCGGACCAAGGAACTGAAAAGTCGAATGATTTGTCCCAAATTCCCCTCTGTCAATACCTGTGTTAAAGCCTATAATGGACTCCCCATCTGATTCAGAGTCCTGTGCTCCTGCGTGTGTCCTCCGTAATCGCCCTGCTGATCTGATCTCACCAGCTACAAGCTTCTCTGGCGTTTCTATATCAAGTTCCACTGGTACAACTGCCTTGCAACGCATCTGGGTTCGATTCGGTCGTACTGTGCAGTGATAAGCATTGCATGCAAGTTTGATCAGAAAATATGCGGCTGGTAAACACCAGATTCCACCTCTCCTGAATGATTAGCTGGCTTTTTGAAGTCCTAATGATTTTAATTTGGCTTGGAGTCAGTGAGTAAGAGTATGCAAAGCCTTAGCCAAAGTACCTATTTATTTATTTAAATATTATCAGCACATATTTCTTCAAAGAAGAGTACCTATCTCTTTGTCTAAGCCTTTTTTAATAAATGTATAAACATATAAATGTATAACCACCAAGTAAACCAGCTTAAATTTTCTCCATTGTCTCATAGATGACAGCAGTTAGTAGAAACAGTGTTTTCCCCTGGTGAATAGGCTTTATGGACTATCTCAGACTTGTAGGAATGATACTGTCTGTTCAGTTTCATTCTTTATTTTTCATTTCAGATTTTTAACAAAAGTAACACGGCTTGTTTTCCCTATATTCGTTCTGTCTATTTTGGTTTTATTCCCCAAGAAAAGGGTAGGAATAGATTAATGATTTATTTAAAATGTGAATGGAATTTTTCTAGACACCAGTCACTCTTCTGGACTCGGCTGTTTAAAACTTGTCAAGGAAGAATAAATCTTTCTTTTTTCCCTCCCAGGTTCTCTGGAGGAGAAAGATTATCCATGTTTGTGGTTGTTTCAGATATTTGCAAAATTAATGTTAAAATTTGGATACAGCAGTAATATAAATTTTTAAAAACCCTCTACTTTTCCATTGTGGTTTTTTACTTATGAGAGACCCATTTAATGAGGATGAGTTTTTATGTTAAAATTTGGATACAGCAGTAATATAAATTATTAAAACCCCTCTACTTTTCCATTGTGGTTTTTTACTTGTGAGAGACCCATTTAATGAGGATGAGTTTTGTTTTCTTTCTTAAGGAGTGTCTATCTAGTGCTATGCTAAAAAAATTTTACTTATTCAAGGCACCAGAGATGTCCTATGTTGTGGCACCCCAATTTAATTATTATGTTGGACTGTATATGATAAATTAATTTATTGCATTTTTAAGGAAGCTGTCCTTACCTGTGACATACTGTAGTATATAAAAGATTTCCATTAAAATTATATTTATAATTAATCCTTAAATATTCAGACTAAATGGGATAGGGCTAAGTACACTGAAAAATCAACATGTGCACAAGTATACCTTTGCAGGTGAAATACTGCATCTGGTGTATATTAAATGACTATATGTTGCGCTATGCAATATTACTAATATTTTAAAATCTTTCCACAAGCACTTTCTTCAGCTGTATACCGAACAGTATTGGAAGTCGCTTGCAAAGGAAAATCACGGTGTAAAATGGGGGCTCTAAGAGACGAGCTTTTGAAAATAGCAAATAACTTCTAAAAGGTTTCTCTGCATACAATTTATAAAATTAGATGTAATTATGCTGCTGTTGTTGGCTGAGTTATTTTCCATTCAAATGCCATGTACTTAAGTGAACCGGAAGCGAAGGAGTGGGCGCCTTTCCCCTGGTGCCGGCTCCCTGGTGTCAAACAAGTCGCCCACGATGTCGGCAGCGTGTGATTCTCACAGCAGTGCAGGCAAAGGGGTCAGCTCCCCTGTCCTGCTTCGCTGCCAGTTTTGTTGCGAACGGGGGTCCAGGCCGCTTGGAGATCTCGGCCATGAGGATGTTTTGCTTTAAGGAGTTGCACAGGCAGGGTGCATGTCTGAAAGTTTCCTCACAGGGCTTTGAATTTGTCTCCAAGCTTATTGGAGTTTCTTCTTGCAAACAGAAGTTTGCAAACTATGTTTGTTATTTTGGAAGTTGTCCTCATAACACCTTTTATTCATTTCTTTCCTGAAATCAACAGCTCCAGTTTTTTAGGTCTTTTTTTCCCCCCGCCTTACAAGTATGTACACCACAATTATGGCTTGGGTTATGGGTCCTTGAAGTCCCTCTGTTGTGGCAATATCTTTTTCAATAGTATGGCATGTGTATTCAGTTTTTTATTTATATAAGAACAAAAATATTTTCTGAGTTACTTTGTTTTCTCACATAAATTCTTTCTCTTTTTTTTTTTTTTTAACTTCACAGCTCCTACACATGGAGTAAAGTACTTGAGTCAATACCATTAATTTATAAGCCTGTTAAGTGTTTGAGGGCATTGCATTTGTCAATATTGACTTTTCCCTGCTACAGTGTTTCTCGTTCTCTTCAGTTAGTTAGGTGTATCTAAATCTCCTCTGGTCTAGACTTACCTGCACATTTTTGTGTCATTTGCAGGTTTGTCGCTTTTCTGATAACTCCTTTTTCTGAGGACTAACACATACGTAGCTACCACATATGCCAGAACGATGTGGCTCGCACCAGTTCCTACCTGTTTAGCTTTCCACAAAGAAAAATGCACTGGTTATTTCTAATCTCTGTTTTCTGTCCAGGTTCTTGAAAAATGTTTGTCCCTCGCAGCACAGCTATTTAGTTGCCCCGAATACCTTTCTGGAGATCCATATGCACCATTTCTCCTTTAGTTTTCTTCTGGTGCCTTAAGAATTGTATCAGATCTGTGAGGCACAATTTACTTTTGCTAAAACCATGGAGAACAAATTCGACCCGTGATCTGTGTGTCTTCTACTTGTGTTTTAATGATTTTTTTTAACTAAATTGCTGTCTTATCTCAAAATACATATGCTAGTCTAAAAGTCCTCTGAATGAATCCCGTAAGGCTTTTCAAAATGTAAGTGCAGTATTTGCTACCATGCAGCCCTTAAATAGAGTCACTAGTATGAGAATATCTTCTTAGAGGTTCAATCAGCTCATTCTTAATTTTTTTCTGATATTTTTGGCTGTATATATCCTCTGTGGCTTACTGACTTAATGCCTTTTTAATTTCTTTGTTGTTTTTTTCTTCTCCCTTCCTCTCTTTTGGGCACCTATGTCCCTGGTGGCATCTCATCTTTTTTTACCTAGAAAGAATAGGTTCAGGGTAAGTATCTTTCTAATACGCAGTTGGCAAAAACTGATGCAAGATATTGTTTATCGTTTTAGCAACACCCTCATTTTCTTTAATTACATCTTCACCTCCTCTAATCCAAAAGACCTACTTATTCTCCCTTAACCATCTTGGTGGTTATTGCGTGGTTTTTACCCACAGCTGTTTACTTCGGAGCCCATTTTAGGCCTCTTTGTTTCTTTCTTACACAATGAATCTTATAATCTGCTTTGTTGGCTTCACAAACATTGTATTTCCATGCTCTGCATAACTTTGCATTGGATTCCTATAGGTGGAATAGCTGTAGGGCACTCTTAAAATTGTACAACAGGTCTATAAACCGAAAAAGCGCTATGCTCTTCGAAGAGGACATATTTCATTTTCAGGATACAAAATTCATCTTAGCACTTAAAGTGCATACACTCCCCCCTTACTTGCAGTCTCTAACATTTGGGTTTGAATTTCTTATGTTAATATGTTGGTTTCTGCTCATTTAACAGGTTTTGGATGCAGGGAGACTGAAAGAATATGGTGAACCTTACATTTTGCTGCAAGAACAAGATGGCTTGTTTTACAAAATGGTGCAACAAGTGGGCAAGACTGAAGCAGCTTCTCTGATTGAAACAGCAAAACGGGTAATTTTAGAAGAAGGGATAATTAAGTTTGTCTCTGCAGTTTGTTTATCTCAGGATAGCGTATTCAGTGTTATAGTAAGCCTTCTGCTAAAGAAGCTGTCAGCTTTGCAAGGCAGACATCGTTTTCAGTGCTTTTTTTTAGTGGGATATACACAGACTTCCAAATGATAAGTGTATTTATATACCCTGAGTTGAAAGACTGTTTGGATTTCTTGCATCTATCTGTTTGTACACAAAATGGTAAGTGTAGATAATGTATGACATACTCACCTGTGCTGGGCATTGATTGTAGAAAAACTTGCTGTAAAACCGTGTCAGGGCTGCGGAGTCCAGCATTTATCTGTTATTTCCATATTTTTAAAGGGCCCATCAGATTTTAGTTTGAGGTTCAGTACCTGTGTGTTATGTTATGGTCTCTGGGGGTGCAATCACATTCTTACTTTTGTGCTTTCTCTTTGTTCTTGTACCCTTTCTCTATTCTGCACATAGGATGAGCAGGGCTCAATTGAGAAACAGCTGTTGAATGTTTTGTTGCCTCCTTGTTCCCTACAAGGCTCTGTGCCTGATTCACTGCTTACTATTCAAATCCTACTCAGAGAACAGCATTATTAGCGTAATTGTGAGCATTCCTCTGGCAATCAAAGTGTTTAAGAAACATCAATGGATTCATTTTCATAATATGCCTCTGAGGTGAGGCTGTATCATCTCCACTTTTCAGATGGAAAGCTGAAGCAGAGATAAGAAGATAAAAAAATTGACCTGTGGTTGAGGAACTCATTTTGACTAGCTTTTGACTTGATTTCTTTTTTCTTGATGATTTACCACACAAGATGTCCAGAGCAAGGGGTTTATTCCCCTCAGTGCCAATGAAGTTGCAGTTGACACTGGCAGTGCGCAGTTTGGCAGCAGCTTGCTTCATAGTCAACGTTGCTTTACTTTCAGCGTGCAAGTAAGGCACCGATGTCAGGCACGTAGCGACCCAAGAGAGCCTTTTCAAGACAAGAGGCAAAGGTCTTATCTCTAGCTTTTATGCTTTCCTCTCCTCAAGTTGCTGGATGTGTGGAGCAGAGCTAGGGGAGCACAAACTCCATGCTCTTTCCTGGGGAAACGGCAGACCGGTAGACGGGAAGCAACACATAAAGACAGGAAACAAAATGGCAGGTGCCTGGCTATTTCCTAGTAAAAATAGAGGCATTTCCAGCAAGTTGGAAAAAAAAAAAAAAAATTATGCTGTCACAGAGGTTGCGTGCTCCTGCTTGGAGCCTATTTTACTGGACTTTTTGAAGATTAGGGAAGATATTTCTGTGTCTGTTCATATTCTTAGAAATTTTTTAGAGCTGCTGAAACCTCTTGGGGTTTCTTTTAAAGAGTTTTTTGAGTGAAGCTTTGTAGCTAAGAGCATACACTAAATTCATGCATGGCACTAATTGCAGAACTGAGGAAACAGCTTTGTCCTTAACTAGACTATGTAATGAGTCCTGCTGTCCTTCATCATTGCTGCAGTGTAGCTTCTTATATTTTATTACTAGAAAAGAATGGGATAGCCATGTTTTTTATGGTATGTGTATGACAATCTGGAGGTTATATAAATGAAGTTTAAAAGGATAGCTTCAAATTCATGTGACCAGTGTTTGTCTGTGAAGTGAAGGCCAGCTTCCTAAGGCTTGGTCCTTGGAATGGCAAGAGGTGAGGCTGTCCAGCTGTCATCTGCAGAGATTTAGCTGTGTCATGCTGTCTCTCCTTCCTTCCCTGCAGCCCTCCCCAGTTGCACAATTGCATTCAAAGATAATTCAAAATATATAAAAATAATTGCCTGATGTTACTTGCCCATATAGTCATCTGCAGTTACCACATCAATGTTATGTGATTTTGTACAGGAAGGGAAGAGATCCAGGAACCAGTCTCTGCTGAAATGTGGTTTGATGAAAAAGTTTGCTAACTCCCAAGCTAGAAGGCAGATACAAGCTTTAGCATCTGCCAAGAATGCAAAGCATGGTGCTTATCCACACTCAGCCCAAAAATATGAGAATCGAGAGACTATATCTCCAGTCAGCAGCTACCCAGAAGCACAGTTACAGTTCTTTCTGTTTGAAGGACTTGGACATTAATTCAAAGTTTTTGTTATTGCTGTCCCTTGTGCTTCACGCATACTTTCAGAGAAGTTGCTTAGTCAGAAGAGCTGATTCCAATGGCTTTTCTTTTTACACTAGTAAGTCCGTTACATGTATTGCTGTTGGTCTCCTACATTCCTACTGTGGTTACTAAGAACTGTTTTTATGAAGAACAGCTTTTTTTCTCTTGTTGAAAAACAGCATGCTGCACATAAAACGAAATGGTAATATGACATATATACATACTTTTCAAAAGGCATTACAGTGGGTTGCTAAGTGAAATGGTTTGGAATGTGGCTATGCTTTGGCAGTGAGTATTTGATTTATTGCATTTTGGACCTGAATCTTGCGCAGAACAAACTTGTACCAAGAGCTTCTTTCGGTAAGGTGAGACTTCAAATGCATTTTCTGGAACAATATAGATTTGGCATATGTCCTTTAAGTGCTATTGAAGAGGGACTACACATCTTATATTGGAAGACTAACTTGGACATCTTTGAAGAAACCTAATTTCCCAAAAAAATCTTGTGGGCATCTTAGCTGAGCATTGCAAGATTGAGCTGTTGCTGGAACCTTCGCTCAGGCTTCTGCGTTGATCCAACGTTGCTATTCGTATGTCTCTCTTGGTCACTCAATATCCTCATTTTTCATGCAAATGTCAGAGAAAGCATTGTAGGCACAGCTCAAATTGGAGACCGCTGAGTATATATTAACTAGCCGGTGAATGTGACTGCAACGGAGTTGTGCTTAGCATCGTGAGACCCTGTTTTTATCTTTGCTCAGTTTACAAGAAGCTATTAGGAGCAAATGCTATAGGAAAGTGAGAAATAGTCATCAAACAGTTAAAAAGGAAAAGAAAGTGCTCAGTTATTCAAATAAACAAAACTTGGTGTGTTCTTTGTGCTCTTGGCAGCATTGAGAGAGAGAGGCTTTTCCGCAAGCTTTGGTGGCATCAGGTTAGAGCTGGTTTTCTGTCAGTCAGTTTTGAAGTACTTCGAGGGAAAAATAAGGGTTATTTTATTTTAAAGCTATGACAGATGTGTAAATATTAAAATACTAGGTGTTATCTTACCTCAGTGATTACTTTTAAAAAGGTTGCAGCTCTGTTGGCAGTGGAAGAAACTTGTATAAAGACTTGGGCATTTAATATCTTGAGGGATTGGGCTCAGGGGAAGAATTGCAATGAGACAGTTGAAAAGCAGCTGCCATTTCATTACGTCTCTAGTAATGTGCCAAGGGTTTCTGTTAACTTTCCATTAAAAAAAAAATTCACATTCAAAAGCTGGCATTAAAAAGTATGCCAAAGTTTTATGTTTTAAACCAGGAACGAGGTGGGAATGCACAACCGGGGCTGCCATCTCTGCAGCGTGCGTGCAGGCAGGCACCCGATTAACTTTGCTCTGTTGCATCTGATCATGGCTGGTTACCGAGGAAAGCCTCTTAACAGGACTTCCAATTCTTTTGTTGATTCAAATCAGACCTTTAATATTCTTTGAAACTTGTAAAGATGCATATATCCTGCCTTGGCATGTGTGCACAAAAGACGACAGTGGTACTTACAGGAATGTTTTTATAGAATTCCTATTTCTTTTTTATCCTGCATGTCTTATACATGTATTCATATATATGAAAAGGACATTATTATCAAACAAACTGAACTTTGTTGACAACACTCTCAAATATAAATTGGAGAAATGTTTCATAAGCCGTAGTCAAAGCAGTCTGACTACGAGACCTAACTCGTGACACGTGCCAGCTTCAGAGAGATAGTGTATTTTCTGTTTTTAAAGACTCAAACAAAACTTTTCACATTCTTCTTTGAAAAAACTGCATTTGAAGTCCTTTTTCACCCAAACACATTTTTAGATAAGAGCACACAAGTCTTGACATTATTTCATTTTGTTATGCGCATCTGTCAAGGAACAGAGATATGATACAGCTACTAAAAACTGATGATTGTGGAACAGTGAAACTTGACAGCATTTCATTTCCTTTATGTTCTGATTATACATTTATCAGGAAACCTGTATCTCTTCTAGTTGAGCTAGAAATTGGTAGAATTCATGAACTCAAAGGCTTGGCAAAGAACTGTCCTATTATTTGGTATCATCTTACATTTTAGAGAAGTTGCTTGGTTGAGTCATTGTTAAAGCTTTTGCTTCTTCTTTCATTATTGTGGTTCACTATCCAGAGATCACATTTCTATAGGCCCTATAACTGCTCTGCAGCACAAATTAAACGCTGGGATATTTCATACATATACCTCGAAGTTTCAATGGTTGTCAATCATAGTTTGTAAAATATAGGGATTACAACCTGATATTAACATCCAAATCCATTGTGTTCGTTTTATGTGTGAAAATGAGAAACCCTTGTGCGGACGCAAGATTTCACAGCTTCTTTGTCATCCTGTTTTTAATTTATCTCCATGTTTTGAGCTAGTAAAATGATTTTACTTATCAGTTTAATGTAAAGTGATAAACCATATCTATTTATCTGAATTACCAGAATTTGAGTGGATCTACAGGTTGTGTGGGATTTTTCTCACACTTTGTTATAATGTAAGACCATATAGTAATTTTACTAATTTTTCAGTGACACACAGTTACTGGATGCCACTAACCTGAAGTTCCTGTTGGGATTCCTTAAGGACATGTATTTATCTCTACTGCATTTATCTCCATAAATTTTATTTGAAACTAAAAAATTGTTTGATGCATAATTACTCACAAAATCTGGTATTTTTCCTAGGTGTACTTCAGTAAGAATTACCCAGAAGTTGTTCAGAATGGTCAAGTTGCCACAGACTCCTCCTTGGATCCTTCCTCGGCATTATGCATAACCGAAACTGCACTGTGATTCCTAATAACCCTAACTGTTTTCCACAGAATGTAAACCTGAGGTCATCTAAACTCAGTGACGATGTTTGCGAGTGTCAACGGAAGAGGAAAGGGAGGGGGCAGTTCTTTGCACTGGACATCCTTCCTATTTAATACTGAGAAGAAAATTTTTACTGTCCCTCTTTCTTTAATTTCAGTGCAATATGTTTTTCTTTCCAACTAATTATGTTTGTTTTGCTAAGGAAATTAGGCAGACTCAGTTTTTATTTGGAAGTTATGTGGTAGAGATCTCTTTTATTTAAACAGGTGCAGGACACCTAACAGGTCTAGGGTGCATATTTGGAGCTTACCAAAAAAAATCGAACATGTCCTTTTTCTCTTTTGAAAATACTTTGAGAGCAGGCAAAACCAAAATTTTTTCAGTGTCACTTGTAGCATGACAGCTATGCCTAAGCAGGGGATTTGGTAGTGTACAACTGAGTTGTCTTGCGCTGCTCTCTTTCTACCTGTCATAAGTAGCTATGCAGGTTGGTAGAAAAGAGAATTGAACCAGCCAAAAATACTTTTTGATAGCAAAAAGTACTATATCCTTATTTTTTTGATAAATAGTTCAAGTAATGCTGTTCAAGATGAATGTAAATATTAGTTTTATTTTGCTAAAATCCAAATGCTGAAAAATCAATCTCAGTCTTCTGTACTTTAGAAGAAAATTACCACATTTGCACTGAAGAAATATTTAAATAATTTAACATACATTCCTCTTTTTATCCAGGTTATCAAAGAAAAAAAGGTATTAAAATAACTTGAGGAAACGTTTGAATTACATGTCATTATACCTAAATACCGTGTAGTACAAAGTTATCTTCAACACAACACATTGAAATGTATACATTATTTGCATTTATTGTGCCTTAATATTTGTGCCTTCAAGCCAAAGCTGTAACTGCAGGGTACACAACAAATTCATTAAATATATGTTAAAAATATCTAACCTTAGTATATTTAAAGTTTTGCATCAGGGGTTCTGTTGAACTCGAGCTGTTTGAAGTTACCATCCTACCGGAATAGGTAGGAAAGTACAACCTGTAGTAGTTTTGAGTGGCTGTTGCTGATAGTGAGGAGAGCGTAGCGAGAGAGAGAGGTTCGGTATTCATAAGTTATGTCCTGATTCAGCAAAGCGCTTTAACACAAAGGCACTATTCCCATGCATTAAAAAAAATAAATAAGTCAAGTGCTATGCCGCTTCAGATTTTTTCATGTTTAGTGAGATACCTACTCTTTGAGGTCCGGTAGAAAATAAATCTATTCATCTTACTGTTTAAAGGGCACAGAAGAGACTTAAAAGGCAACAGATCTCCTGAGGGCATAGAAAATACTGTGCTTTTTAATAAAATACTGAAGCTGCTTGTTATTACCGGTGTAACACAAATGTTACTTACCCAGTGGTCTAAAAGTAAGGCATACACAAATGTTCCTCATTTCAGGCGGTTCTACCAGCAAATAACCGATTCAAATACAAAATTACTCTCTCCTTGTAGAGAAGTAAATGGAGGCCAAAGCCTGTGTCTCAGCACGAGGGCTCTTCCAGAAGGGCTTTGTTGTGCTCGGGAGTCAGCCCCGTGGTGAGAGGCAGAATCCTCGTTCCCCTGTTGCAGCGTCTTCCCTGCAGTGAGGCTTGCTGTCCTGCTGTGAGAATGCTCGGGGGCTGTGTCGCATGAAGAAGGCGCAACCTCGCGTGGTCTTGTCTGTACCTGCCTTTTTGGAAGGGTTCCATGGTGTGAACCGTGTCCAAACTCTGCTCAAGCTTTGTCATGGAGAAGCCTGGCCCCAGTGGTCCAAATCAGAGCTAGGGTGAGCTGACCAGTAAGGCAGTGTAGACACTTAATGGGGTCTGATGCTTGAGCTCATTTGTTTACCTTTTTTATTGAGCAGTTTGGGCATATCCAGAGTCCAACTGTGTTTTACAATAGCGCATGCTTTTGATTTCTAAATAGTTAGTTCTTACAAGAGAGTTAAGTATGATGCATAAATACGCTGAGACTTTTAAATACTCTAAGGGAACAGTACATTATTCTGGTCTTATACCTTGAGTTTCTATAATTTTTTTATCAGAACCAAGGAGATATGCATGTGGAAACCAAGGGTATAATTACAGTTTTAGTTCATTTCAGCTCTGAAATGAATCTATGGTAAGTTATATTTCAGAGCAGAGCTCCAAAACGCTGGCTGCTGCAGACTCACTGGTATGAGACCCCGACAGATCTAGCTATCGGTCTATAAGCTAGAATTAATTTGATCCTGTAGCTTTTTGAATGCGCACAAAAATTTTAGGTATCTCTGAAAATGCTGATTCTGCTTCTTCACGTGTTTTGGCAGGACATTACTAGCTGTAGGTATCAAATATCCATATAAGAGAAAAGAAACTCTTTACAAAATCACACTTGAAGCCCATAAATTGCTGAGTAGAACAACTGATAGTCATTCATGTCTGTCACTGGCATTATACCCATCTTTTTAGTTTAACGTAACAAAAATATTTTAATCGGGGAAATTGGTTTTTAGAAGCTTTTGTTGGTTTTGTTGTTGGTGGTTGTTTTGTTTAGACTGGTTTACTGGTTAAGATTGACTGACGCGTTTAATTTCAGTTGAGTGAAAAAGTGCCACGTACCTGAATGGCAAAACTCAGATCAAGGATGAGAAAGGCCGTCCTTTGGTGAAAAGTCTTGGTTTGTTAAATGGATGAATTATCTTTCCAGCAAGGTGTTCTATGTTTCCATTTAAAGAAAAGTTCAAATAGTTCAAAACTTCCACTTTGAAAAATTTCACGTTTTATTTGGAAATAGCAAAGCTGGTTTCTATAAGCTTCGTTCCTTCCTGGGGATCTTGGGAAAAGAACTCAGTCTTCAGAGTTATTCAGAACTTTAAAATACTTCTTCACCATGAGGTGCCTTAAAGTATTCCAGAGTCTTACTTCTATCAGATACAATTTTATATGGTAATACTGAAAATCATCAGTTACAGAACTGTTGGTTGGTTGGTTGTAAAAGACCAGGAACATCCGCTGCTTCTGATCTCAAGAATTGTTCTTCAGACATTCACTTTGGTGTATCTTTTCTCCACCCCTCCTCAAAAGACCACTGGGAGAGTCAAAACCAACACAGTTCCCAAGGATAGGTTGTCTCGTGTTTTGCTTATTTTAAGGGTGAAATTCTCTATAGTGAACAGAACCAGAGCTCACTTGGCAGAGAGGCGTTACCTTCTGTGATACCGTTCGCGGTGCCCTTCGGAAGAGGGAGGACCGTCTTCTGACCAACATCAGCAATCCTGATTGTTTTAAGTCACGTTGACGGTTTCTTTTAACCTTCCCAATACCCATTTAAAACACAATTGCAAAAAAGAACCAGAAGGGGACAAAAGATCCAAATGGTATAGAAAATTTCCTGAAAATGCTGCTTTTTGTGTTAATCTGACCCTTCGAAATATCTCACTTCAAAGTTTTTGTTTTTGGGGGGGGGGAACTGGCATGGAGAAAAAAGTTGAAATCACGTATTTCCTGTGATGGTGATGAGCATCTGACACTTTAGCAGAAGAGTGTGGCTTTCTGTATATGTTTTACGTTGTGTAACAGCTTTTCCATCATTTTAACTCTGGTTTTGTTTTGTTTTGTTTGCGTTTGTGTAATAATTTGATTTTGTTACTGCTATGGAATGGTTTCTTTTGTTGACGTCCACGTGACAACTCCTGTCATACAATAAAAAAGGTGTTTCTCAGAAGCGTGCGCAAGTCTGTCGTCATTGCGAACGTGTGGCTGAAGGCAGAAATGCTGGGCTAAGCCACGTCATGCCTGAAATCTCCAAGCACCTCTTGGTGGCATCGCCAACGCGCAGGGTTGAAAATCCTCCATTCGGAGGTCTAACACAGAATGATATGCCCCAGCTTGTTTTTACCAGTCGTCTGTGGTCTGAGATCTCGCGGATTGCATTATCGAGTTTTTTGCTTCAATGGCAAGGGCTAAGAAAGTAATTCATATAGTTTTTCAAAAAATGGTGGTGGCAGAACCACTGCAGTTTGCGCAGGTGCAGATCAGGCAGGGTCTCTGCCAGCTAGCAAGCTCAATGGGCAGGACAGCCAAAAGGTGGAAGTTCAGTGGACGCAGAAGTGAAGTGATTAGCGGCACAACTCCAAATTCTGCGGTCATCTCTGCTTCAGTCTGGTGAGTTTGTTGCTTACTTTAACAGGACACTCCAAAACTGCTCGTTTCCTAAAACTGCTCAGAGCTTCTCCCTATGTCTGCCAACTGTCTCGAGCACTTAAGTCTGCTATTTTGATGCAAGTTTGTAGTACGAGGTAAATTGTGCATTTGTCGATAACCCCCAGTGCAGCAGGTTCCAGGACTTGTGAATGAATTGTGAATGAACTCGCAATGAGTTGTCATCTGTCCTTTTATAACTTGATGCTGGAAGAGGCGTTACAAATTTCTCACGTTTGTGCCACAAGTCTACCTTGCAGCCACCACCCTGCTATCTTAACCCCCTGTAAGTGAATTTGGCTTTGGCTGTCCCAGCAGAATGGTCACCTGCGCTATGCACAGTATCCTCCCGGAGCGCACGCGCTTGCCAAATTCCTGTGCTCCCGTGTTAATACAGCAGTTCTCTCTTAAGAAAAGGGTGAGGTAGATTTGTTTGCTTGCCTGAAAGAGAGCTGCTGATAAACAGCAAAGCCAAAGATGTGGTTTTTTGAACTTGCCCGCAAAACAGGCATGAATTTCATAAACTTGGTGTATAAAGCTGGTTCCTGGATTTGGAGCAATATTAATGTATAAAAACACGTGGCCATACTCTGACCTCTGAAGTCAGGTTTCCACTGTTTCCGGCTTTCACATAACTCCTAAACTTGCCTGAAATCAATAGCCTCTCCTATTTTGAGATATAAAATTCCCTGCGGATCTTAGCCACAGATCTAGCACCTGCTCAGAAGTACAGTAACCTCAAGAAGGAACTGGAGGTGGTCCTAGCACCGTTCAGCAGCCAGGGCACATCCTACACTAGGATACTGGAGGGGTTCGGTAAAGGGTTCTTGGATCATACCTGCTGTCTTCCAACATGGCTGAGTTAAATGCTGGACCGGAGCTCTTGCCCCTCTCCTGCATGGGACACGCAGAGTTTTCAGAGGATGGACTCGGGAAGCGGGAGGTGGGGCTTGCAGGCTTTCTGTAGCCTGAGCTGCTTGGGTCTTTCCATCTTCTGCGTCGCCCAAGCGTAACAGGCGGGATGGTTGTGATGGGAATATTCACCGTGAGTGAATCAAGTGGGGGATTATGTTTCCTCCAGGACAAAGGATTCTCTCTCCAGGTTCAGGTCCCAGTTCCAGGGAGTATTTATGCATTTTATTCAATGACTGTCAGCAGAAACACCAGGAGGATCTGGGGACTCTACTGGAGGGCTCTCGTGTCAGCGTAGCTTGGGTCTCGCTGGGCAGGAGGACCCGTTTGCTCCCAATCCCTCCTGCTCTCGCCCCAGCAGGGCAGCGCACAGGCCTGCTGCTTGCAGGATCGGCGCGCTGGCTGTTGGGCAGCTCTAGAAAAGCAAACGCCCTTCTCCTGCCTCCCCAAGGACGTCGTTTCCCTCAGCGCTGTCACTGCCTCTGCTTCGGCTCGGGTGCTCTCTGCAGCCGGCTGCTCCTACGGCAGCTGCTCCGCGTGCAACACCCGGGCAGCGAGTCTCCCTGTAGACCAAGGTTTCCCTTACAGTTAATAAAGTTACTGACAGAAGAGGTCTGAAACACTAGCCGAAGCCCCTGCATGGGCTATACCCAGGGAAAAAGCTCCCCGTGTATGCAGTTTAAATTTAAATGCAGCCAAAGGGGTGTCTATCACCTGGGCGCTCCAACATCTGGATTTGATGCCTGAAGTATGACTGGCAGATCATGTCAAGCACACAAGGCTTACAAAAGAGCTATGGCTTTTGCTTTTTTTGCTTTTTGTTTTTTAGTTTTGGAGACTTGCAATGGGAAATTGGGGGGAGGGGGAGGGCTGGACAGAGAAAAATAGTTCCCTTTGTTTCATTCCAGTAAGGTTTGTACCTCACAATTCAACCACAGATAGCAAATAAAGGAAGGATTTCTTTATCCTGAGAGTAGCCTGAAGAAACCAAATCTTGCTAGTGTTTGTGCCAGTTGACGTTCTTCACAGAGCTCTGTGTTTTGCAGGAAAGGACCCTAATTATGGCATTAAATCGAGTTGAGTGGGAAATGCAGCCTCAGACTTATTAGTCAAAGTCTCATTGTCAACAAGAGCTTGCTCTTGAATATTACAAGCCCAGATTTTCTATTTTAACATAAATGCCAGGCATGAATAGGGCAAGCAAGCGCTGTTGAATTGTCTCTTGAAATTGCCAGGATACCAAGAAAGAGGATTTCTCCCCTCTCCCTGCCCAGCTGAGAGGATTTTTGTTCATTCTGTACCGGCACGACAATGGCATCGTACCAAGAATATGGACCGCCCTGTGTTTTGGTTGATTTGACATGTATGCACTTTTGCAGAGTAGTGATTTCCGAGACTGGAGTTATGCAAGTAATTCACCGTGAGTCATTCATGCAGTGAATTAAGTGCCTCTTCCCACAACCAGGTCGCCTCCTGACAATCATTCCTTTTTTCTTTTTTTTTTAATTACTCAACAAATCCTTTTGCAATTACTTTTAAGCATTCTGCGTAGATCACACATTTATGTATATGGTTAATGTTTATTGATTTTTTTTTTGAGTCCTATTCATAATGGATCAGAGAAACTAGGTAGTATTGTCTCTGTATTGGTTGGTGTAAACATTCATATCTACGAATTTAAAATTTTGTTTTCATCTGCTTCTGGGTACACATTCACAGGTTCATTTCTGTGAGGATCCATGTCAGTAAAGCTAGATTTACTCGAATGGTGTGTCACATCACGCATACACATCGACACAGGAGGGAAGAGAATCTGCATTCTTCAAATACTTTTATGGAAAAGTCTCTGCTGGCATTTCTAGCAGCGAACGAGAGAGACCCTCGCGGCCTTGAGAGAATAGGACGGTGCCTCTGCACTTGCCAGGGGAAAGTAGAGAGTGAGGAGTTGCCTGCAGCCTGCTGGGACGGAGCAGGGCTGGAAGGAGTCTCCCTGCACTGGTTTTACTTGCCTGGGTTCTTTGTGCATTTCTGCGCTTGTGAGAAGTTGCAACAGATGCTGTGCCGAACCAGTTCTTGCTGTTGAAAGCAGAAAGTGAAAGGCCAAGCGCTGCTGGTGAGCAAGAACAGATGCTTATCCTGTGCCAGGCATGGCCGAAGCCTGTTCCCCTCAGGTGTCCTCCTCCCAAGCGCACTGGCTTGTGCCTCTGTCTGTTTTGAGTAATCAGGCTTATTTTGGAGGAGGAGGAGGAGCCCTCCAAAGAGGAAAAATTTCTAGGGAGAGCTTCCTAGAGCGTGAAGGAAGTAACAGCGAGGCTTCGCTCGCAGGGCTCCATCTCGCAGACCCGAAGTTGCTCTTTTCTCCTCTTTTCAGGGCACGTGCGGGAGCTGCGGCCTGCAAAGCTCCTGGGTGCTCTTCGAGGAAGGTGTAACAGCCCATGGTGCTTACAAGGACCTCCTAATGGGCTGGTTAATTGGCTAATGGGGCTGCCTTTGCTGCAGCCTAATGAATGTGAGTGCAACGATTACTTAAGAGGGAGACGTGTAGATCTCTGGGAGATGACTTTGCTGGGCTGCCAAAAGGAACGGGAAACAAACCAGTTGGAGCTGCTGATGCTGTTGTCACAGATTTACCAGAAAGGCTGCTTTTCCTTCCAGCTTTTTTTTTTTCCTGCTGTCTTTTTTTGCTTTTTATTTTTTTTGCTTTTTATTTTTTTTGCTTTTTATTTTTGCTTTTTTTTTTTTCTCAAGGAGCGATTATCGGTTCATCGTTTCCCTGGAACTGATATTGAGGCAAACTT